AATATTGAAAACAACAAAACAACGTATTTGATGTGCCTAATAATAGTCATCGAATACGTTGTTTTGTTGTTTTCAATTTTTTATGATGGATGTCCATGTACATCCTGTACATATTCATGTTTAAAATTAGCAAAAGGTAGGCCACAAAATGGCGGCGTTTTCTTTATGAATATAGAGGATTCTAAAGAACCAATCAAAAAGAAGACGGCAATTATCGCCACTGTGGTAGTAGAGTCACTGTATTTTGTACTGACCAATATCGACATCTTTGATGACTTTTATAGGAACCATGAATAATTAATTCTACTTATAATAAAAATAATTGTTATTGTTCTGTTGTTGCGTTATTGAACTTAATTGAAAAATCACATTTTTGACCATTTATTTTATACAGGGTGTCCACTTAGTGTGATATCAGACGATATCTCCTTACAATCTCCAAAAAAATTAAATTACAAAGTTGTTTGATACTCTAATATGCATTAGCTAAAAATATTTTTGAATATACAGGGTGCTCCGTTAATGGGGTATGCGACAGAACTTTGTTTTTTTGATAAAACACCCTGTATGTGATTGCATATTTGGATTCTACGTAAAATTCTGAGCAGATTTCATGTAACATACCCTATACCTAAGTTCGATTGTTTTGGAAATATTGACAGTTGAAAATTTACTTTTTGCAATTTTGACAGGCTGTAAAACCTAAACGGTTAATTTCAGACGAAAACCGATTTTACATTCCAATCTTAGATTTTTATATACTATCATTTGATACCAACTTTGAATCTAATCCATGATTAAAAATTCCAGTTAAATTTAATCTCCGGTTAAATTCAAAGTTGGTGTTAAATGATAGTTTATGAAAATCTAAGATAGGAATGTAAAATCGATTTTCCTCTAAAATTAATCGTTAAGGTTTTATGGCCTTTCAAAGATGCAAAAAGTCAATTTTCAACTGTCAATATTTTCAAACGGTTCATTTTAGGTATTGGATATACAGGGTGTATATTTTAAGTGATACCACTATTGCTATATCCGAAACGGTAAAAGCTACAACGTCGGTCAAACTAGAAAAAAATTGCCTTTTTTGATGCTCATTTAAAATTCGTTTACAGTGTTACCAAATTCCTTTTAGTTTCTAAAAACAGGTTCATAACTAAGTCCGAATTAAGGTAAAATTTTGGTGAAAATCACTGATGATCACTTTTTAGATCAGAAACGTCGACCAATAATACTTAATAGATATATCGTTGAAAAGAGAATAGAGGGTGCTTTCTTAAAATGTCATAAAAAATCCAGGTCCGTATTTTAAAAAATGAAGTTGATGATGGTTGCTTTACCACGAAACGTGGGATTCGAAATTTGAAGATGCTCTGTTGTAGAGCGAAAAAAATTATAAAACTTTCAAATTCAAATTGTGTCCCGAAAATAAATAGTTTTCGAAATATTTGATAGACTATTTTTAGGCGTTTCTTAGAAATCACCTTGTATTTCATAAACTAAAAGGAATTTGGCAACACTGTAAACGAGTCTTGAATGGGCATCAAAAAAGGCAACTTATTTCTAATTTAACCGACCTTGTAGCTTTCACCGGTTCGGATATAGCAATAGTGGTATCACTTAAAATATACACCCTGTATTGCATGAAATCTGCTCGGAATTTGACGTAAAATCCAAATATGCAATCTCATACAAGGTGGTCCATTTAAAATAACAAAGTTTTGTCGCATACCCCATAAACGAAGCATCCTATATATTCAAAAATATTTTTAACTAATGCGTATATAATGAGTATCAAACAACTTTATAATTTATTTATTTTTTCTTGCATCACCTTGTAGGGAGATATCGTCCAATATCGCACTAAGTGGACACCCTGTATATACACATAGGCAGTAAAGCCAAAAACAAACAAAAAACGATACCTTTGTATATCATTTTCCGCCCGTTCGTAGGAAATAGTTATTTAAGGATGCGTTACTGGCCGCCATGTTTAAATTTAGTTTTTGAAAATGACGACTGCGTCACTCTACACATAGGGTTCAATATTTTATTATTTGTCCAAAACAAAATCTGTTTGTCGGTGAAACACTTAGTGACAGAGAAAGACAAATATAGAATTATGATGCTCACAATGTAGCTTTTTTGCCGTGGCGCCATCTACTTGAAATTGCTTGAACTGTTTTCACCTTCAAAATTCGTTTAAAGGTCATCTCAAAAAATCCGCTATAATTTCCAAAATCCTTTGGCATAAACATTATTTGATTATATTATCCACAATCTCTACAATTGGCTTTTTTTAGTTTTTCATGGTTATCAATAAAATATGCTATTCACGAATCCAAGCTTGATAAACATGCAAATATGCAACCACCAACACATTAAATTGTTTTGGTGGTTGCGAACATGATTTTTGAATTTAAAAAAAGCTTGAATATCGAAAAACCAAAATAAGGAATTGTAGATAATCGATCAAATAATGTTTATGCCAAATTTGAGCCAATTCTGATGTGCCGTTTTTTTAAAGACCTTAAAACAAGTTTCGAAAAATCAACCAATCACAGTTAAAACATGGTGGCCATCAGCGCGGCCTTTAACAACAAATTTTGGGAAACGACTCTTTTCGCACGGCTAACAAAGTTTGTTAAAGCGAGCCGTAGGCGAGTTATATAAGTCGAGCGAATGTGAAGAAAGGTTTCCAAACGAGTTTTTCACAATGCTTTTCGTACAACTGCAAAATAAAACAACCAAATATGAAATTTTTATTTGTTAGAAAACAAATCCATCAGAAATTGGTGATAATTGCGATTTATGTCCTGTCATGTCAGGATGACCAAAATAAATATAAAAAACTAAAGTTTGTTTTTTCTTCAAAGATAAAAGTCAAAATGACATTATGTTAGCAATACAATGTAAAATTGTCAGCTTTCAAATTTTTTATGTAGAAAATGCTTTTGTTGCCAACATAGTCACTAAATTTTTGACTTGGGAAATTATCTTTAAAAACAAAACAGACTTTAATAAGCAGCGTGTGAAAAACTTTTTCGCACGCTGAGGAGCGTGTGGAAAACTCCATTTTCAGAGGCAGTTGGAGGGAAAATTCTGTACTTAACACGAGCGTAAAGTATCTTTTCCGCACTTACGGGTTGCACGAACTCCGCTGGCGCATCGTTCGTGCAACGGCCATTGCGTGCGGAAAAGTATAAGTTTCCGCACTTGTTAGATAAAAAACTATTATGTAATAGATAATGTAGGTATATAAAATATAATAAATTTTTCATTTCATCCTTATTTGTGTCTTATTTCATATTTTTATTGTATCAAACTCCAAGTATAAAAACATGCGTTTTGGCGCCATAATCTTTAAAAAGCCAAACACACAAAAACATATTGAGAAAAAAAAAACACAATGATATTAACTTTATATTTAAATACAACCAATTTCTTTCAATATTTTTTTCTTGTAACAATTTGATTTAATAGAGACCGCTAAATTTTAAAGTACGGCCCTGCCAACGTTCTTTCCTTATGATTTTCAATGGCCGTTTTCGATTCGCAACCAGCGGGGGGATTACGAAAACACGACTCGAAATGGACACTCGATACGAAAGTGAATACGCATCGATTGTGCTCGAAACGTCAGAGATGATTAGGTACAAGTTTCGTTTTGTGTTCGTGTGAGTTCGGAGATTTGTGACGCCTTTCACTCAAATTTACCAAATTTTGTCAATTTTTTGACATTGACTTAATACTAATTCTAATTTTTTATTGTTGTGTTGTGGTTATTTGTGTTCTTTAAAGATTAATTTCGCAATTCCAAAGTGTTTAAAAAATTTTATAAAAGGAAAAAGTTAGTAATATGTTTACCATAATCAGAGTCATAAGGCGGCGAAGGCAAAATGATGCAAGAAGACGAGAAAATCGTGCATTAATTCATATGAGAAGAGAAATCAGAGAAAGTTATGATTCCTTTTTACATCCAGGGTCCTTATTCTTGAAACAGGGAGTAGCGTTCCCAGAAGAACGAGTGTTCCGTCTTTTTCAATGATATGCAAATGATAACGACATAAGTAGGTACAAAGACGGAACACTCGTTCTCTTGGGAACCCTGCTCCCCTGTTTCAAGAAAAAAGACCCAGAGGCAAGGTTTATTGAACTATTTAGACTTAGCAAAGTCTTGGTCCAGAACCTTATTGACTTGGTACGACCTCATCTACAATTACCCACAGATTCTTTATTTTCTGTAAGCTGTTCCAGAGTTTCCTTTGAATGACTTTGCCGTTGGGCCCTGCAAATTGACCTCTAGCAAATAGAGAATGTTTAGCTATAAAAGATAATAAAACCTGCCAATGGCGATCATTAATTTTAAGACAATTTTTTTCAGCGATTTTTCTGTTCAAAGTTCAAAATACTACAAAACGTCAAAACACAATAAAGAATCAAACGAATTTTGGCCCCCAAAAATCCAACATAACTTAACTTTATTGGACTCGATTTCGTTTCGATAGCTTTTCGACAGACATCAACCAGTCGAGTGACTTTCGTCGAAATGCATTCGCATGGAGTGCGTTCGAAATCAAAATTTTGGTGTAACATGGCGGTTTCGGTTCGAATCGAGAGTTCGTAATCCGCCTGCAGGTTCGGTCTTGGTTGGTTCGGATATGACTGAAGTTGGTTGACAGTTTTTGAATTTGGTTTGTCCAAAAAGGCGCCATGTTTTAAGGTTATAAAAGCAAACCGAAATTCAAACCAATTCGCGAAGCTGGTTCGAATTTAGACGGACCAAGCGATGCCTGTCACGTCACCGGTTTGCAATCGAAAACGGTTGGTTCTAATTTGGTTGGCCTTGAAGACGAACCGAAGCGAATCGAAAACAGCCAATGTATCTACTGCGCACGCTCACAGCTGTCCCAGTTGTTTACATTAGGACCTCGTAAATTAGCAGCATTTAAAGCGTTCTTTGCTTATCCATTTATTTTTGAGATCAGTGTGTCAACCTGCAGAAACATCTCATTTTGTGACTAATCAGGGTCAAGCGTTATTGTTTATGTTTCAAAGTTTTCAATGTCAAAATCTATCTTGGGAAAAAATAAAGTGTAGATCTCTCATTTTTTTTTTTCAGTCAAATAATTTTGCCTATCAATTTTTCGATTGCTTCCGCTAATCTTTCTTGAGAAGTGGCCATTTTCTCAATACTTGTATTAATTTACTTTAAAACTTTGAGTGTTTCTCCGTGCATATCTGTTAAATTTGTAGAAGGCATTTTCTGCGTAGTGGTGGTAGTAGTGCATCCCCATGGCCTTTTTTTGGGAGTGTTTTGTATCTGTTGTTCTTTCAGTGGTCGAGTGTCTGTTTCATTTACTGCACTCTCAGAAGTTGCATTTTCTATATGGACTATAGGTTCTGATTTCGAAGATGTTGGGTTTATGCTTGTATTACCGTCATATGAAAGTGGCCAGAGTGGAGGTGGCGAGATTCTACCTGGACCTTTGGACAATATGATTGAGTTCTGGTTTGGTAAGGCTGGAATTGCTTGACCTTCAGGTACTTTCTTTCCTTGGCACTAAAATATAATAGGTATCAAAAAAGTATCAACAGTGAAATATCAAAAAATGACAAAAAAAGGAAAATAACATTAAAAATGAACAATAAAGATTATGGTATTAATACAAAGAACACTCACTAAGCCAAGTTCTTTATTGGTCTGTATGCCAGTGATAAATGTTGTTCTTAAAATTGCAATTAGGCGCGTCTCATTTTCATTTAGCTCAGGGAGCGGTCCTCCACCCCCGGTTTGAGTTAACCCTTTGTTGATGTCTGCCACTTTTGCCTTTGTTTTGGATTTCCAATCTGCTACTGCCTTAAATATAAAATTTTACGGAATGAGGAAACCATAAATGTCAATAATATAACGTGAATTCTAACAATTTTCTACTTATAATATACTACTTAGCTTCCATGGCTTTAAATGAGTAGAATTTATAAGTATTAAATAGGTATAAAGTAGTGATAAAAAAAAAATTCTAAAGTTTTCAACTGACAAAAATTTTCGAAATTAAGTTATATCCTACCAAATTACTACTTACCTTTTGCCATTTATCCACTGTCTTTTTGAGGAATCTCATGCTGTTAAGTATTTCTGTTATTTCCTCCCATAATTGAACATATTTTTTTCTACCATTTGCCCCATCAAATTTTTTCGTTAAAAGTTGGGGATTTGTTTCCGCAAAATCAAGAAAAACAGCCCATTGAGACGGATGTGTTTTCAACCTCTTCTCTATTTTGCACAGTCAGAATTGTGAATAAATTGATTTTGCACAAACTATCAAAAACCAACGGAATCAAAACCTTGTCTAAAATCAGGAATAATAACAACCCGTAATTGTCTAACATGACACCCATTGATACAAACATTGATTGACCTATCTATTTTTACCTGGTATGTGCGCGCAACACGAGGCAATGCCTTTTTATTGGCTAACTAGTACAGGGCTGGAACTCTGTAACGGATAGAGATCGTTATCCCTATCGCTATGGCACTTGCTGTCTTCTTCTGTCTTGTTGACATCACTAGAGAGGAGACGTCAATAGAGATAGAGAAAATATCTCTATTCGTTACAGAGTCCCAGCCCAGGTGTGAGGTGTTCGTTTTGCATGCCCGGCATATCCTTGTCCTTGTTTATTGCCCGTGGTCTGACAAGAATATAATTACGGTTGATATTCAACTTGACATAGCTTGACAAGTGTCATTCAAAATTTTTTTTGACAAATGCGTTCCACAACGCGCGGTCTCCCTCTTTCCCTTTTTAGCCCGTGCAAATAAGAAGGATGCATTGCTATACGTAAGTCTAACATAATTTGGTACGTTTTGCCTCGTCTTGCGCTATGAGCGTTTTGTGTTTTTTTTTATTTAATGAAATTTTCGTATTATTACCTCTTTGTCTGGTAAAATAGATAGGTCTCACCGATTCTGCCCGAAAGGTGTTATAGAATAGCAAACCGAACAAAGCGTCCCATAACGAACGTTATTGTTTCGCTTCGAGCTTATAGAATCCGTCCCCAGGTCTAACGAAAACGCCTAGACAAAACAGCTGTTCAATGACATGATGGAAATGAAAAATCAAAGAGTAAACAACAATTATTATCATAACCTCAGATAATTGATTGGATTTTTTGGTCTTCAGACGGTCAGATGTAATGCAGAATGCAGACTTAAATAAGACGTCTTTAAGACTTTGTGTGCTGTCTGTGTCTGGGTAGTTTCCTGCCCAAATGTTTTTCTGGTCATATGCGTTTTTGCTTCCTCTCAACAAAAATGTTTAGATCATTAAATTTATTGAATTTTTCTTCTATTAAATGTAGTTTTTAATTCTGCACCAAAAAAAAATATATACATATTTGAGCTTTTTTCAGATGTTTTGAAAAATTCCATGTTGCTAAATGAAATAAATGTCAATAACTTTTTCGTTTGCAGCTGATGGTCTTTAAATTTCTCCCATTATAGGTAACTTTTGATTTTCCACAAAAAAGTCCTCTTGAGTTTTTTTGATATAATGCATACTTTACGAAATATTCAATAAATTCCAAAAAAATCAAGATGGCGGTCATTTTTTTCCAAGTTCCACCAATGCGACAAAGTGCGATTTTTGAGGGATTAATAAGGACCCTATTGACTACTCATTTCCGCAGAGATCACTTTGTTACTAATTTTTTCTACCCCAACCCCCTATTTTGACTAGCCTACATCTATTTACTCGATTAACTTGAATTACTAGGAGCTTTATCCACAATGGCAGTAAGCTATTTTGTTGCCCTCTAACAATGGCATCTTTACTAGAAACCAACCTCATCTATAACAATTAGTCACTGCAGAGGAAGAGACAAACAAATCTGGTAATTAATCCTTATTTACGTTTGAGGTCCTTCTAGTTTCCTTTAGTATTTATTCCGCCCCTATATTTAATCTAAAAAAAAACTTTGCAATAAGATTGGAATGATACCAATTAAAGTAACTATAATGAGATATTTGAAACCATTAAGTAAGTTTTTAGGTCATTATAACATGTTTCATTCTGAAAGTTCCGTACTTATTAGGCAAATAACTATTTCCAAACAAATTCAATTTTAATTGGCAAGATTGTACGAAATTTATAGATCCGTACTTCCTGATAGAAAGGCGGGCCCCGGCTTCAACAAGTTATGACCCAATTAAAATGTGTTTGTTCGAAACTTTGATTTATCGCAGCACGCCAGACCTTTTAGGAGCCCTGTTTGCTCTTCGCTTTCATGTCATTAATTGATGATGAGATGGAAAAATTGTTTTCAACATAGTTATTTTTCATGTGAACTAAGTATCGATGAGTTGTTGTTAGTTATCAAACATGATTGAACCTACGTTAATAAGATTTTCTATCGAAATTGCTTTCACTCTTCATAAATACACGACGCCTACATCAGATAATTAAATCTAACTCAAACCTTCGTCAAAGTTTCTCTTAATCCTTTTATCGCCGTAGACGCGTGAAAGCAAATTTAGCTTTCAGCAAAAACCCAACTTTTTCCTCCATTGGAAGGATATTATTATTAGATCAATACGTATTTTGACAGTAGGGAACTTTGCCAGAAGTTTCTATTGAGTAGAGAACTTGGTTGCATAGATAGAGATAATTAGAGTGACAGCTACATGGAGTTTAAATATAATGGGGCTTATAGAGTCCAAGAATTGGCAAACTGCATTTGAAATGTTCGTTCGAAGTTCCTAGTTAATTTGGAATGAATCGGATTGCGGTATAAGATAACTACCGAAAGCATAATAATTGAATCGTATTCACCTCCCAAGCAATGGAAGGATTTAGGAGAAAAAAATAATGTCGTCTAGGCTTTAGTACTGAGATAATTATGAATGTCCATGGTTGATTTTCAGTTGCTTCTTTTCATTATCATTATCAAGTTTTGCCTGCTTCAGTCGTTTTCAGTCTTGAAACTTGAACTTTTTCAAGAAAATTCATAACAGGATGAAATAATCAATCCGTAAGAATCAGTGGCGTATCTACCGGTGTGCCATGTGTGCGAAGCACACAGGCCCGGGCCCGAGAGGGGCCCGTGAGCTCCATAGCGAAACTGCAAAAAAAAACGTAAAAAAATCGAGATTACACCAAGAAAAAAAAAGAAGCTACAGAAACTTCAACATACTGAAACAGGAGATCCTTCCAAGACCCAAAATAGGAATTCTAGGCTTCAAAAATTTTTCGCATTTAAAAAATTTCTGGATGGAAAATACGTCCCTGATGCAATTTTGACGCGTTGCTATGACAAAAATGACAGAATCTCAGACAGAAGTGTCGTAACAATATGGCGGAAGTGGGATACGCTTTTTTCTCCCTATGTCGCCTCCTTATTATTCTACCTCAATGATTTTTTCTTAATTTTGCCTAAATAAGTCAATTTTCTTTGAATTTTTCCTGGAGTGATTTTTCACTGGAAAATTTCGAAATTTCCCTATAATGAGTTCTTCACTTTTCTCTTTATCCTGGAAAATTTTCAAAATTTTCCCTTTAGCATAATGAACTCCTCATTTTCTTCTTTCTTCTGGAAAAATTTCACAAGTTTTGCTTTATTAGTTTTCCAGAAATAAATTAAAATGTGAGAGGATGATGTTTTATTAATTTTACTTGAAAAAATCATTTTTTCAGAATTTTTCCGATTTTTCATTGGAAAATTTTGGAATTTTCTTATAATGAGTTCCTGACTTTCCTCTTTTTCCTCTTTTGCCAATTTTCCAGGAAACAATAATTGAAATGTGAGAGGATGAATTTTCCTTAATTTTACTTGAAAAAGTCAATTTTCCAGAATTTTCCCAAGAGTGATTTCTCACTGAAAAATTTCGAAATTTTCCTATAATGAGGTCCTCACTTTCCTCTTTTTCTTGGAAAATTTTCAAAATTTTCCTTCTGCCAGTTTTTCAGAAAAAAATTAAAATGTAAGAAGTGAATTTTCCTTAATTTTGCTTAAATAAGTCAATTTTCCAGAATTTTTTATGGAGTGATTTTTCATTTGAAAATTTTTGCAATAATTTCTGTAATGTTTATAGTTTTTCATAACGTCCATAATTCTAGTAATTTTTCGTTATTCACGTAATTATTTTTCATAATTTCCATTTTTCGTAAATTCTGTAATTTTCTGTAATATTGAGAAAATTTCCGTGATTTACAAATAATTCCTATAATTTTGAATAATTTTGAGTAATTCCTGCATTTTTGGAATAATTCCTGTAATTCCCCTATTTTTTTGTAATTTCAGAATATTTTTTGAAATTTAGAATTATGTATACTTATAATGAGAAAATTTTTGGCTTGATTTTCTCTGCTTTTCCATCCATAGACGCGTTTCGACCTATCAGGTCTCATCAGCATGGCTAGGATCATCAGTGGATAATAGGTTTTCCTATTCTGGGTTTTCCCACGAACTGAATTTTGGTCGGCCGATTAGATAGTCAGTCACTATATTGCAGCAAAAATTGCTGTTTAGTGTTAAATCTTTGTCTTAGATGGCGCCACGATCAAATTTCGACCGTTGTACTATGTATATAATTCCTATAGTTTTGAATTGATAATTTAAAAAATATAAGAATTGGAAAAATTTCGGAAAATTTTACGAAAATTACAAAAATTGAAATTAGTGGAAATTACAAAAATTTCAAAACTTCAAAAAGTTACTAGATTTTTAAAAAATTATGAGCATTATAAAAATTAAAGGAATTAAAAAATTACGAAAATAATTTATTAAAGAATTACAAAAATTGAAAAATATTAGAAACTACGAAAAAATCAGAAAATTACGGAAATCACAAAAATTAGGAAAATTATAAAAATTCCATTAAAAAATCACGGAAAATACAGGAATACGGAGAATATAGAATTAATAAAAATAAATTAAAAAATTATAGAAATTTCAAAAATTACAGGGATCGCGAAAAAAATTAAAAAATCGGAAAAATTGCAAAAATCACGGGAATATTGAAAAATCACGGGAAATACATTAATTATTAAAAAACTAAGCGGAAAATTAAAAAAATACAAAAAAATCGGGTATTACAAAAGCAATGAAAATAAAAAAAATTGAAAAATACTGGAAATTCAAAAATTATGCAAAATTACAAAAATATTTGAAAAATTACATAAAATAAGGAAACTACAAAAAAATAACAAAAATCATTAAAATTGCAAATATCATGAAAATTTGAAAAAAATTACAGCACTTACAATTATTGAAAAATTAAAATGAGAATTGCAAAATTACGAAAAAAACCGGGAATGGAAATACTTATGTAATGTAAATTATTTTAAAAAATTACGGGAATTTCAAAAACTACGTGAAATTGCAAAAATCATTAGCAAATTACGGAAATTACAAAAAAATTACAAAAATCACGTGGATTACAAAAATCACGGGAATTTCAAAAATTATGTAGAATTGCGAAAATCATGGGTAAATTGTGAAAATTAAATTTGAAAAAAATTAGGAGAATTATAAAATTACGAAAAAACTTCAAAAATTATTAAAATTTCGAAAACATTGGAAAATAACGTATAACGGAAAAGTAACAAAAATTACGAGAATTGCAAAAATTAAGGAAAATTGAAAAAGTTACGAAAACCACCATTATTAAAAACTAAAAAGCAGAATTATAAAATTTGAATATTACAAAAGCAATGGAAATTATTGGCAATTTCAAATATTACGTAGAACTACAAAAGTCATTGAAAAATTACGTAAATTACAGGAATTATAAAAATGAAAAATAACGAATATTACAAAAAATCACGGAAATTTCAAAAAAATACGGCAATTACAATTATTGAAAAATTAGGAGAATTATAAAATTACGAAAAAAAATAATGGAGATTTCAAAAATTATGTAAAATTACGAAAATTATTGGAAAATTACGTAATATGGAAAAATATTAACAAAAATTATAAAAATTTCAAAAAATCATGGAAATTACATTGATTATTAAAAAAATTGAGAGAAGAATTATAAAATTAGAAAAAAATCGAGTTAAACGGAAAACAATGAAAATGATTGAAAAAAATTACGCGAATTTCAAAAATTACGTAAAAATGCAAAAAATTATTCGAAATTACGTTTTACGAAAAAATAATAAAAATCACGAGAATTTTAAAAATAACAGAAATTTCAAAAACTTACGGGAATTATCACATTGAAAAATAAAATAAAGAAATTACGGGAATTAAAAAAATAACAGAAATCACGAAAATCATAAAAAATTGCGGAAATTAGGAAAATGATAAAAAAAAATTAGGACAATTAGAATAATTATAGGAATTGCAAAAATTACGGAAATTACGAAAAATTGAAAAAAAAAATATATCGGAAATAACACAAAAATTAAGGAATTTGTTAATTAACGAAAATTACGGGAATTGCCAAAATTGCAGAAATTACGAAAAATTTCGGGACTACGGAAAATAATTAAATTTTTAAAAAATTATGGAAATTAGAAAAGTTACAAAAGTTACAAAAATTCTGGAAATAAATCACGGAAATTTATTAACAAATTGCAAAAATCGAAAAACCTATGATGATTTTCAAAAAGTTAGAAAATAACAAGAATTACAAGAATCAGGAATTACAATTACAAAAATTATAAAGACCGGGAAATGATAAAATTTCAAAAAACGTCCAAGAAATTAAAAAAAATACGACAATTGAAAATTGAATTGAAAATTACTAAAACTATCAAAGTTACGAGAATTATAAAAAATTACGGGGATTACGAAAAAGTTACGGGAATTACGAGAATTAGAAATTACAAAGGCTTTCGGGAAATGATTTTGAAAAATGCCCAGAAAAAATACGGAAATTACGGGAATTACCTACTAATTTTTGAAATATACAAAAACGTGGAATTATAAAAATAACGGAATTTTCTGAGAAACTACGGGAATTAAAAAATTACGAAAATATGAAGAACAACAGGAATTAATGAAAAAATTATAAGAATTATTTGAGAAATGACAGGAATTAAAAAATTTCTAAAGAAAAATTACGGAAATTACGAGTCTTCGAAAATTACAAAATTTGCTATAATGAGCTCTTTATTTTCTTCTTTTTCTGGAAAATTTTCAAAATTTTGTTGCTAGTTTCCCGGTTGCATATTCATTTTCTGCCAACGTAATAGGACCTTCGGCTGCATTCGTGTTCGTTCGAGCACAGCGTAGGCAAATTATGATTGAAGTGGACTAACGTTGGCAGTTTATAGAGCCTGCCTGGCGTTCGTGGAAATATTCTCTAAATAAATTCAGTTGGAAATTGGCAGTTATTGCTAAGTTGTTGGCACATGTTTTAATGCGAAATGCGATAAGGAATGAATAAATACCTTTATTAAGAGTTTAAAAATTAATCATTGTGTCTATTGAAAGGCCCCAGAACTTTTTTGGTAGATTTGAATTAGTTTCGTTTAGTTTTCGATATTATCGGTTATTTTTGGTTAGTTTGGGTTAGTTCGGGTTAGTTTTCGTTTGAAACCCGTAGTAGGCGCTGTTCCTTCTTGTTTCCTTTTTCCAAGCAAACAACAAATTTACCTAATCGAAATTAACCCAAACTGATCCGTCCTGAAAATGCGACCCAATCTCTGTTTCTATGAACCTGATCAAAAAGTATGTATTATTAAATTTTGAATAAATATTATGAGTCACTGAAGTTGGCTTCTCTGACGTTGTGCGACAGTAACACAGTTCAGCCGAGACTTCAGCTGAACATTCATTTTATTATTTTATTTTACAAAAAAATAAATATGTAGAACCAAAAGAAAAAGAAGATCTTTTGTATTTTGAACTTTTCATATATCAACTCTCATATTTATCATTTCGACATTTTGCATTTTCGACATTTCTCAATTACTACCTTTTGTGTTTTATTGTTTCAATTTTTTTTTACCTCACACTCTATTAAATAGTTAGTCCATGGGGTAGTTCCAAAGACATTGGTAGTTTTATCTAACACAATATTATCAAAGTCTATGCCATTGTTTTCGCTGAAATTTTCATGTAAATAAAGTTCTTCCAAAACATTTATCGGACCTAATTATCAATAAAATGCTTGTAACATACAGTGACATGAAGTGCCAACGTCTGGTTGCGATGCTCATTTTCTGCTAACGCTTTACGGTGCAGGGCACGAATCTAGCCGAATATCAGTTGCGTTGGCAAAAAATGAATATGCTTCCCGGTTGTAAGAGGGTGAATTTTGCCTAAAAAAGTCAATTTCCCAGAATTTTTCCTGCAGTGATTTTTGACTGGAAAATTTTCTATAATGTGCTCCTCACTTTTCTTCTACTTCTGGAAACATTTCATAATTTTCCCTTTGCCAGATTTCTAGAAAAAAATTAAAATGTAAGAGGATGAATTCTCCTTAATTTTGCTGCAAAGTAAGTTTTTCAAAATTTTTCCTGGATTAATTTTTTACTGAAAAATTTTGAAATTTTCGTAAAATGAGCTTCTCATTTTCCTCTTATTCCTGGAAAATTTTCAAAATTTTGTCTTTGCAAGTTTTGCAGAAAAAAATTAAAATTTAAGAGGTGAATTTTCCCTAATTTTACTTGAAAAAGTCAATTTTTCAGGTTTTTTTCCTGGAGTGATTTTTTACTGGAAAATTTTGAAATTTTCGTAAAATGAGCTCTTCATTTTCCTCTTATCCTCTTATTCCTGGAAAATTTTCAAAATTTTCTCTTTGCAAGTTTTCTAGAAAAAAACTAAAATGTAAGAGGGTGAATTTTTTTTAATTAAGCAATTAAAAAAAATTTACCCTCTTACATTTTAACATAAGTCAATTTTTTAGAACATATTTGAAATTTCAGTCGTAAATAAGAAGAATCACCCTTTGTCGTTTGTACATGATATTTAAAAAAACACCCTGTATAATACGCAGTTAATTAATTTATATATTTGGGACTCCAACGATTTTTTAAGAGCCGGTATTTCAATGTCACCTTAAGAGCATTGCTCATCAGCTGATTCGATGCAATTCGGGGTTCCGGCGAGAACACACGCGCGGTCGCCCATTTCCTACGCGCTGGCAACAGTGCGTATTTTTACATGCATTATCAAAGGATCAAGAAGATTTCGAGATTTGATTTACCTATTAGACGACGACATAGCTCAGATCAGGACTAGCTATTATAAATATTTTCAAATAAATATCTAATTATTTATTGTTATGTTTATTATTTATTAGAGTTTTTACGGGAGTTTTTACTTCACATTCACAAGTAAAGTATTGAGAAATAGTAGTTAGGGGTTTCGGAAACATTGAAGAAAACTAAATTAAATTTAAAAATATAATTTAATTTGTGTATTTGGTCAACAATAAAATTGTAGGGGCGATTGACTTGAAAATAAAACAACGTAGGTATCTCTATATAAAGGGGTGTGTTATATAGGCTACTTTTTATCCCAGAAAAATGCACGATTCCTGTGGGATAGTTTAGGTTAATTTAAGTAGCAGGATACAGCTAGTCTATAATTAAGAAATATATGGTGAGACTCATTTTGAGTTCTGGCCCTGGCGCTTATTGTCTTGTACCCTGAGATTTGTCCAATATTTTGAAAAAAAAAAAATAATAATAATATTGCATCCCTTCTAGCTGTCTGGAATATTGGAGCATTTAGTGTTACAAAGTTGATCCCTAATAGGTAGCCCTTTTGGAAAAAGTGGGTCTACTAATTCTGGCAACAGAAAATAGTCATAAAATGCTCTTAATTTAGGTAACATTTTTTCTTTCCAAAATACTTCGTCTCGATTTATCTAAAAAAAAAAAAAAATTAGATCCAGTAATATCGCATTCCTGATGCATCTCATTTCCCATTTATAAGATATAGGTAGGACAAGAGACTTTACCTGTTCAATTAAAATGCCGAAAGGACTCCAGATAATAAAGTAACATGACTGTTTGTTAGCTATAGCTAACTGACCTTGTACTTGATAGTAGTAGTTATGGTTTCTTTTCAATTTCAATGCTCCATCTTCTATAGTGGCAAAAGTAATTTTTCCTGTTTGAATTCCCTCTGTTGGATCCATTTTGGCGATGGTGAAGGGACATTTGACTTCTATTAGGAAATTATTTTCTATAACAAAACCATCCGGGCTTGCAGCTAAATAGTATTCCTTTTCCCCTATAAACAGCCCACAAGGTACAACTTGTAAATTGTTTTTTTTTTCAAATTCTAAAATGGCTCGTGCCTCACTTTCGTTGCCATACTTTGTGGCTTTATTTCCCGTGAAAGTTCCATATAATAAAGTTTTTATGGTGTTCCTCGGTGAAGTTTTTGGTCGCATCTTACAAATTTTACCGAAATTTGAGGCTATGATTCTAAGTGACCTTTCTTGTAACCATTTTGGGTTGAAGGCCTGACCTATAGTGGATTTTTGAATGTCACTTATTTCCTCCGGATCTTTTCTTAGCTCCTGCAAAAATGCTTTTTCCTTTTCTATGTAAATATCACTATTTAAATCCAAAGGTATATAGTGAGCATTAGGACCATAATCCTTATCCGCGAGAGACTGTTTGATAATTTTTGTTCTTTTTTTGGAAAATATCCTTTTTTTAATGATTGGCCTATTTTTCTTGCATTTCTCTACATATTTTTTCGTATAACGTTGAGGACTTGAGCCAACAGTTTCGTGAAGAAATCTGTAATAATTTCCACCAGAATTAAAAGATAACGCAGCAGCCTCACAACGCGTTTGGTAGGAGCCTCTCTTCGAAAAAAGTATGCGTTTGCCACCAACGAATTTGCATACAACACTATTATAATGCTCCGCAAGATTGTTGTCCATATTCAAGATTAAGCTGCTGGTGTTATCAACAACTCTTTGCAAAGCTACTATAATATCTTCGTAAATTCCACAGTCTTGCATACTTGGAACGAGATTGTGTTCATTTTCTTTTTCGCATTTGAAATACTGTATTTCCTTGCATCTGGCGTGCTCACCAAATATGTGACTTGGTGCATTGTAGATATCACCCCTCAGTAATGCTATTTTTTTGTCCATTGTTGTCTGTTCAGCTATTCTATACATAGTAGCCTTCGTTATTGCAGTTCTCAATCTCATAAACCTACTGAAAATCTCCTTTCTAAGTGCCAACGGGACAGGTAAATTTTTAGAATTACTGCGGTTTTTACCTAAACAAATAAAATAAAATAAAAAACTCACGAATACTTCAGGGTCTTCTTCCATAATCGAGATTATACTTACTGCAAACTTCTCGTATTTTCTTTGCAAAATTTCTAAGCAAGTGATTTTTACATTCCACTTTTTGGACCAATAAATTACCATAAGGTTTTATTTGCAAAAGCTTTCTGTATACTGAAGAGTCTCCATCTCCAACCATTTTGGTGTATTTAATATTGTACAACTCTAAACTTTTTTGAAAACCCTCAGATATTATGTCGGTTTCCATTGACGTGGATGTACCACTCCAGTTCTTGTAGCAGTTGTGGACTGGAACGTCTTTTTTTTTGTTTTTATACCATGAGCACAGTGAACAATATTTGTTTCGTAGACCAAGGAACAATATTTTTCCAGTTTTGTACCCGATAATGCAAGCCTTAAATTTAGATGGGTTTAATAATATAATGACCATTAATATAAATAGATAGTAATTTTTTGCATTCCTATCTTATACTAATAATAATGGCTCTGGTGCACTATAAGTACCTCAAAACTAGACATTTTACAGTTGTGGAAACAATATATTATTATAGTTGCAGGACTTTGAAATACGAAAAAGTGAGGATGAACACTAAAAAATTTTTTTTTCAAAAAAAAAAACAACTCAAAAGTTAAATTAACTATATGTCTATATCATTTAGGTGCCCTATCACTTCAGTGCCACACTCATTGGGGTTTGATAGACACATAATTCGTTTGAGTAGAGAATTATTCAAGGATTTCTTGAATAAAAATTGCGGATAATGCACTTTTTTCAAAAATATTTTAAGTTTGTACTATTTTCGTTGCGCCTGTTAAGATACGGGATACGCACGGTTTTTGCAGCGAATGGACCTGGGTTATCGATTCTCGTTGGAGGCAATACATTTTTTTTGGTAATTGTTTAGTGAAGGTTTTTCACAAAAATATCATGTTTTTTCTTTATAAACAGTTATGTTTTATCTTAAAATAGTTTGCAGGGACTAGCACGCAGAACAAAGACGGGTTAGTTTGAGTTAGTTTGCATGTTTTTGATCAGTTTCAATACAGTACAGTAGTAACTGTCGGTTAGAGTGTACAAGCTTCAATAGTTTAATAGGTATTATACGCTTTATCATTACTCAATAATGTTTTTTTTTTTTTCGAAAAATGGTTTAAACACTTAGCTCTTCTTTCAGTTCAAATATCTACCACATGATGCTTTTCATGTTTATTGAATTTTTATCTGCTAACCAGAGCGATTGTGATATTATGCTGATAAGAATAGATATTATATATTGATCTGTGTCAAAGGTCGAGAAGAGGATTCACTCAATATTTAAAAAATCTAATTTATACTTAGTTATTTGCGCCAACATTTTTGATCATAGAATAATAATTTGGGATCAAACTATAAAGAAGAAGCATGATATTTGTGTGAAGGACTTTTACTAAACTGTTACCTTTTTTTAAAGTTTTTCTTTTTTCTTAGGGTTTTTTCTTTCTATAATATTATTAGGAGGACAGGTTAGTTCCAGTAAGTTTGGATTTGCTCTTTTTCATTTAAAATGCCAACATACTAGCACTTATTACGAGCGCGTGCCCAGCTGTTTGGTTTGGTTTGGGTTAGTTAGTTTTCAATAAAAAAAAAAGTAGGTGCATGATCCTCAGATTTTTGGCTTTTAAACTATATTATACACTACTTCTCACTTTTTGAATTATGAAATTTTTGCAAATATCGAGGTACTTATAGTGCACCAGCCCCCATAATAATATACGGTTTTTAACATACCACACCAGAAGAAGCATCATAGTTAACATTATAGGAACGTTTCGCCCATGCTCCATCCGTCACCACAGTGATACATGGGATTCCATTGGCATCTACTTCACCCTCCGCTATCGCTATTTTGGCTTCTTCAGCTGCTGCTTCTTCCATGCTTTTCCAAGCAGATTCTCTGATTATTTCTGCCACTTTTTCGTGATGATTATTGAAAGTGTTTGAAGCCATCATTGGCATATTCAGGGAAGCTGCTATTTCATTAATCTGCGAATAGCCAAGCCCAGCAGATAAGGTACCCAAAACCATAGAGGAGTTAACGTCCAGTTTAGAATGTAATTTTTCTTCACTGGTGATAATCTTTGTAACTAGACACATTTGACATTGTAAAGTATATTCACTATACAAGCCGCTTCTGTTTTCGTTGATAATTCTCATATCAACCAAAGAGCAGTCAAATGGCCCATGCCTTTCTCCATTTAAAATCTGATTAAATAAATGCTGAACATTAAATAATCTCCTACCCTCCAATAACTCAGACTGGCTCCTAAAAGGTTTTTTATTTGTTAATATTATCAGTTGTAAAGCTTTTTAATTTTTATGGAAGCTACTATTACTTTTCATTATTTGTTCCTTCATTTTCTGACTCTATGTCAAGCTCCATGTTACCTAATTCTCTAGGTAATGGGCTTCTATTGTTAACTAGGCTAAAAAATTATTATTTGTTTTATAAATCCGTAGAATTTACAACCAAATTTATTTACCCCATAGAATTTTCTACGCGCCTATCAATATTTTCATTTTCTTCATCCTCAAATGGTTCACGAATGAGTTCATATTCCCGTGGACGATTACTATAAAATTCAATAAATAAACGTATACTTACATCATTACCTATTCAGTTTTCTGCAGATATTATTATATCTTATTACCGCTTTTTCATCGCAAGTCGTCTGTTCTTGCGAAATGTTGATGTACATAATCGTTTTGTGCCACATAACTTTTCATTTTTCCTAGTCCGTCCCATGCTGCTAGACTGAACGAACAATGATACCGAAAATCGAATTATCAAGAAAATAAATATCCTCTACAAAGGCACTTGCAGACAAATCACAAATTCTAAAAATAGATCGCTTCCTAAACAAGTACGGGGCAACCGGGCGTCGCCGCGCGCCAAAACAAGGGTTGTGTGGTGATGCCAGAATATATTTTAAGTTGTATAAAATGTAATTTTTTTTCCGAAATCCAACCATTTTTAGATTTCCAGGGTTTTAGAAAAAAATAGGATTTCCATCAAAAACTTGTTGTTAGATAAATTATTCAAAACATAATGAAGAATGAGGGAAAGTCTATTTAAACACGAAAACAAAAATATGCGAAATTTTTTTGAAAAAAATGTTTTTTTAAAATTTTCAAAATAACTTTCCCTCATTTTTCAATGAATTTAGAATATATAGCCAAATTCTTGTTTTATTTAATGTTTTAGTTTTGATGCAATTCCTGGAATAAAATATGGGGTATATTGCAGGTGATCAATGCTCTTAAGATATAGAATAAACATAGACATTGAAAACATTGTCTGACCTTGTTTAATGACGTCATCCTAAATGTTAATATAAGATAAAAACCGTATATTTTAAGGTAAGTCTTGATTTTATCAATAATAATTGCGAACGTGCTCTATGAATCAATCAACGACAAATACTTTTTTCTTAATTATGACGTCATCGATGACGTAAGTAAGTACAAAAAGTGCAAAAAAATACATAAATTATATAATGTGATGAGCCCGCAAAAATGTTGGCACACAGGCCCGGAGCTGGGTTGATACGCCACTGGTAAGAATTTGGAGGGAATCACTCTGTTAGATGTTGGCGACAAAAACTTTTGTTTCCTGTAATATCTATCTGTGTGTTAATATGTCATTGATCCCTACTTGTTATTAAAGTTTTTGCTTCTTATCTTTTTCACTAAGATTTTATTATCAAAGTTTAAAATTCAATGTTCAGTATTTCAACGAATCGACTCTGGAAATTCAGAGACTTTCCTTACAAGAAAATTCAATATCGTGCCATCATAAATCATAGACGAAAAGTAAAGTAAATCAAAAGTTTCAAAACTTACATTTGACACAGATCGTGGCCGAATCGAGAAACTTTTTCCTGTTTTGAATTTTAAAACTTTTAAACGGTTCCGTATTAACTTCAAAATTTAAGATCTATTATATATATTTTTGGTACTATTGTAGAATGATGATTCAAGAGTTGCAAAATCCCCCAATTGAACAGAATATACCTGAATGATATTAAGAGACTAACCACATTAATGTAAGGATTTCTTAAATAATACCGTGACAAATTTCTTTTAGTATATAATTCATATTGAGGTTGAAAGTAGTTATTTCCCCTACATAAATAACGACTATTTGCTTGACGAAAAATGTAATTAAATTATTATCCGCTTTTTGGTCGCCGCCCCAGTTCACTGTGCTAAAACAAGCTCTATACAGGGTAATAAAGGGGTGAGCTCATAAGAGCGGAACATATTTAAAATGTAAATTCGCTGCCGGATTTCATGACGTTAAAGTAAAATGTTGCTTTTTACCAGGTTTATTGCGGATTTTGTCGAGCAATTTGATACAATGTTATATAGGATATGGTTTTACGAACGCTTTATTTACTAGATAAACGGATTATACCTTGTCTACTTTCTCGAAAATTGCTCATGACAAATTGCCAGTATTGAAAATGGTCAATTATAATATGTACATATTAAAATTTAAAATATTCCATCCTCTTTTCTCTGTACCTACTTCCGGCTCTCATTTTAAGTTTTTTTTTTTTTTTTGATAGTGTAAGTCAAAAGGTTTGAAAATGCCAAAGATCTTATTTGATTGAAGCCTTACCACTTGAAGAAAGTACTCGAATCATCAACATTCACAATTCAAGTAGATTTTCTGGAAATTTCCATTAAGTCTCTATTATTACCCACATAAAATTGTAGCTAAGGTACATTTCACTTTAAAAAAAAAATTATCTTTTTTTTTTTTTTGGTCCGAATAATGCCATGGATCAAAGAATATTATAGACTAACCGTCTCTAGAAGTCTCGTCCGTATTCTAAAATTTGAGACCTCGATGGACGCCGGCTTTAGCCGGGGTGGACGCTGGTTAGAGTTTATTGCTCACTGTTGCCGAGTTGTCGCTGTTGTAGGTGCTAGGTGCTTTTGGTTCAGCGGCGATAAGCCGGCGTCCGTGGGGAGATGGACGCCAGACGCGTGCCAAGAGGAATTCGGAAGTTCACAATATGTTTATTTTTAATTAAGCGTCTAGGCGATCAATCCGATTCGGTGGCAGCTGTATAAATTTGAAAACACTTATTTTAAAAATGTCTGGAAATATTTGCCAATATTACAATTGCGGTGTTAGCCGACGTAATTCTCAACGGCGATTATTTAGATTTCCATTTAAAAATGAAGATCTGTGTAAACAGTGGATTATTAATTGCGGTAAGTTAGGTATTCTTTTGTATATTGAAATTTTCATATCCCATTTTTTTGCGGAAGAATTAACAATCATTTGACCGGTGGTTGGTTAAAGGGCCTCTTTTAAATATTACCCTAGATTTACGAAAAAAATCAGATGTTTATACAGGATGTCAGAAAATTACCTGGCAGGACTTTATTTGAAAGGGGATTCTATAACCAAAAATCTCCCTGATGGGAGACGACCATAAAGAGGTCGTTAAAAATATGCATGAATGAATATTTTATAATAAAACATGCCATTAAAAAAAAAACACAGGCTCTACTATAAGGGTTTTTAGAGTTTGAAAAAGAAAAACTATTGTTATATATTTTTTTTTTTTTTTAAGGAAATCCTTCACTCGCTGGACTAGCTCCTGAAGATATTCGAAATAAATACCTGTGCGAGAATCATTTTACAGACGAAGATTATAGGACTGAAACAAAAATTTACTTAAAAAAAGATGCAGTTCCAAAAGTCTATGAAGCTTTAAAGGTTTTAACGCCAAAACGAACTTACCAAAATAGACATATACTTCCACTTTGTAGTCCTGAAATGTCAGATTCAAATTCTCAAAAAAAAAAACGACCTAAAGAAAATCTAGATAACTCTTTTGCAAATGAACTTTCAGATTTACCAGATGCACAATATACTCCTCGTAAAATTGCATTAAAACAAAAACTCAGATGTAACGTTTCAAAACTAAAGAATTATAAATGCCGTCTAAAAGAATTGTCTCAAAAAGTTAAAAACTCCAGAAATTTTAAATCTAATCTTATGCCTGCTATTACAGACTTTGCTATTACTGTTTTATCTAGTATTGCCCAAACGTTTGTTTTAATGCAATTTCGAGGTTCACGAAGGAAAGTGTGGAACCGCAAAGAGCAAGAATTTGCCATATCTTTTTTCTATAAAAGTCCAGCAGCATATTGTTTCTTGAGGCGGAAGGGAATCATCCTACCTGCAGTAAGTACGATTCGAAGATGGATTTCTTCAAATCTCTTCAAAGCTGGACTTGATGAAAACTGTAGGGAACATCTTCAAATGAAATGTGCTACTATGAGTAAACAAGAAAAAAAATGTGTAATTGCGTTTGATGAAGTTAGTATCAAGAGCTGTCTAGAATACAATAAAAAATTAGATATTATTGAAGGTTTTGAAGACTTTGGTCCACTCGGTAGAACATCTAAAGAAGCATCACATGCATTAGCGTTCTCAATGAGAGGTTTATATTCCAATTGGAAAATGCCTATAGCCTACTTTTTTTCCTATAACTCGGCACCTTCAACTATATTAAAACAATTAATTATTTATGTTACTAATGAATTACAAAAAATCGGTTTCATTCCAAAAGCTATTGTGTGTGATCAGGGCTCTACTAATCGATCAGCGTTCAAATCTTTAGGAATAACAAAAGAAAGCCCATTTTTTATTTCAAAAGATCAAACAATTTTTGCCATTTTTGATGTCCCCCACCTTTTTAAGAGTCTTAGGAATAATTTGCTCACAGGAACTTATAAACTTGAGGATAAGATTATATCTTTTGATGTGATAAGAAAAACCGTAGAAATTGATAGAGCATCCAAAACAGCTAGAGCATTGACAAAAATTAGTGACAAACATTTAAATCCAAGTCCGTTCGAAAAAATGTCCTGTCGTCTAGCCCTACAAATTTTTTCCAAAACAGTTGCTTTTGCTATCAAAACATGCGTCGAATTAAATTTAATTAATAATAAAGAAGGATTAGATACTGCAGAATTTGTTCTCACTTTAAATAATTTATTTGACGCCTTAAACAGTAAACGCCTTTATGACAAAAATCCTTTTAATCGCGGCCTCAGTGAAAAAAATCCTGCGGTTTTGGAAGTTCTAAGAACTAGCAGAGATATGTTTTCATCTTTAATAAAAGTGTCTAATTCAAAGCCTAAAAAATCAGAAACAAAATCTATTCTTAGATATAGTAGACCACCATGTTTTGACGGTATGGTGCAAACAATTAATGCAATACTGGCTCTATTTGAAAATGAAAAGCAAGACGGAAATCATTTTATTTTAACTAATCGTCTCAATCAGGACTTCCTGGAGAATTCTTTTTCCATTATTAGACAACGTGGTGGATGGAGTCTGAATCCCTCAGCAAAATCTTTTAGACTTGCTTTTAGAATCCAATCAATAACTAATCTTTTAAAACCGTCAAAGTTGTCCAATTGTGAGGAAGATTCAGACATCCAACTCACACAACCAACTTGCCCCAATATATTATTGGCATCAACATCAAAAGCTCTGCATTATCAGAATGAGAATAAGCAACCATCTACTAGCTCTACTGATGCATTTTTAGAGGATCAATTATTAGACGATACCGTGTCTGAATCTAATACAAATACCGATCCTAAATCTACGAGTAATTCCGCGGAAGAAACTGATCTGGAAGATTGCGCAATTTCTTATTATGCA